TTTTTTTTTTAATTTTAAACATTATGGTACCACTTAGATGCGAGAACTTTGAAAGATTTTTTTTTTTGTTTTAATATTATTTCAAGTTTCCATTACTGGAAATGACATGCAGTAGTGTAGTCTTTTAAAATCCCTTTTAATGAACCATGCAAGCTTCTTCTTTTCTTTCTTCTACAAGATGAAAATACAGTAGACAGGACTTGTCTTTTACTCTATATTCACTGACGAATCTGCTCATAGGCCCAAATTTGCTCAAGATGTGATGTGGTTGTTATGCGATCTTATCTTCTGTAAGTTGTTTAAGAGCACTGTAGATTTACCCCATCGTATTAAAATCCAATCACTGTGCGATACATGAGGACTTATCTTCGTGTCTGTCTTGTGGTAGACTAGGCTATTCCACGTCTTTTGCTTTATCTTTAGGGACCTTACACAAAACACGACAACATGGCAATGAGTAAAGCAATGGATCTTCTAGCGCGTTATGTGCATTTTGTAGCTGCCCTTTGCAAATAAATTCTAGAAATTGACTTTTCTCATGAATAAAACATTTAAAACTTTAAATAAAAAATGCACATACATTGTACCCTAGCAGTCTTTAAAAGAGACGACCTAAAACTTCTTATAATTACAGAAAACTAGAACAGATTATCCTATCTATTTTAATATATTTTTTGCGTTTTGTATAATTTTTATTTTTTTATTTTGATCTGGTGTCCAGAGTCCAGCGTCCAGTCCAGATTTTATATTATGCCACGACACATTGTTTATTCGGACCCTATTCGGTCCGTGAGGACCTGGTGTTCCAAACATAAATTAATTGTTGACTACAATATAACCTCGATATACCGAAGGGCCAAGGGACTGGCAAAATATGTTCGCTATAACGAGGTTTCGTTGTATCGAGGTTCTTTTCCAAATATTTTACTATTACTGGGGCCAGGAAAATTGTTCGTCTTACATTAACTATGTTAATTGTAAGGGAATGGAGATATGAAAGACAATTAAGAATTCGAACATACTCAGCATTTACCAAGAAGTTTTTCTCATAATAGCGCATTTGTTTTCGTTCACAGCATTCAAATTCACAATTTTTTTTTTTTAGTAGTCAGTCGTATGCTATTTGCATTTACGCAATTTAGGATGGGTTTCTTTACGGGTGATGGGTGTAAAGGAAATCCACAGTTCTGTTTATGTGCACGCCCTTCTGCACGTGCTAATGGGCTAATTATATAATGGCTCCAGAAACGATGCGCAGATAGCATGTCCAATGCAACAGACCATTTCTGAGTTGCCTTTTGCTCTGTGCCAAACCGAGTCTTTGTGCAAAACCATTTATGTGAAAGTGCGTTCCGCTTACGGGTTCATTTTCATGTAAATCAAACTCTTTTTCATGTGAAAGGTTTGCGGGAGGGCTCATTTTGAAACAGAGGCACCAGTTTACTCGAAAATGGTCTATTCCATGGAATAACCAAGTCTAGGTTGGTTTATACTAATGACGGAGTCAGATTCGTAATCAAAATTGCGGAGCAATACAGTCTAGTGAACATCAAACCGATGGAGTCGGAAGCAGCCCTTCGCTTAGTAAGAACCAGATTGTCGGAGTCGCTAGCAGAAGCCGAGGAATAAAGCAATGTCGATGCCTTAGAACTAGGTTTTCTTCTTCGGCTTCTACTTCCGACTCCGTCAATCTAGTTTTCACTGAATCATAGACGACGGAGTCGTAAGCGAAATAGTGGAAGACATGGAAACAAACAAACAAAACAAATGCCATGGTTTCATTATGGATGCGAAGCAGCATATTGAAAGTAGCCTTTTTTAAAACTTTCTACTGATTCAAAGTTGTCAGTTCGGCAAACTCTTGAAGTGAAAACTTTTGCCTCTCGAGATAAATTTAAAAATTTAAGGAATGTTAAAAAATATGTATGAATTAAAGAAATAGATAAAATCTGTTTTGAAAAAGAACATCTGTGTGGCACACTTTAGGTTGTGGTCTCACTGTTCTTCGAATTTATACAGTAAACCCGTAAAAACGTTTCTCAAACTTCTTTAAAGAAGTAAATTACCAAACTTATATGATTGAGAAAATCACTTCGCTGTGATTGGCGTATTGGAGGCAAATTTGGTCATCATTAATCATCCGAGATTACTGGCGAAATTTTAAAATTATGTGACACTCTTACCCTAGTTTCCCCCGTGACGGCTTTTTTACTTCACATATTGGTAGAATGGAGAAAGAAGAAAGGAAACCTCTGGGGCCAGGGAGTCACGTGAAAGTCGAACTCGTAGACCTCCAATAGTTCAGTAAAAAGCGTGAAAACCCACAAGAAAACACTTGCTTTCTGATCTTTCACAGAAAATTTGCGGAAAGAACATTAAATTGATGAATTTTTAGCTCTCTACAGCAATAATTTAACTTCGAGGCAAGGAGAATATCAGCTACTTGATATGTTTATTTTAGCTGTCAATCATGTGGGTAATTTTAAAATCTGTCCACACTACGTCGGAGGAATTTGAAATCGCAACAACCACCGGTCTTTTTGGGATTTGTGTTTTAAAAAAAGAATACTCGAGCAGGGAAATCACATTATTATCGTGAGGTTATCGTTTTCAAACAGCTTTGTTTTCAAAATGTTTCCGTCCACTTTAAAACGAAAAGCCGGCGTTTTCAAATTCCTCCGGTTTGAAGAGCGTTTTTGAATAGCTCCCTTTTCGTGACAGATTAGTGTGGACAGTAGGCTTAACCGTAAAAATAAAGCTGTGTTTTCAAATTTTTTTTGGCGTGGTCTGAACGCTGCCTTACAGTTCCACAGCATAAGGGAACTTATTCATTGAAAAATTAAGCTTAGAAAAAGATGTCAAATGGTGCAAATGCCACTAAAGCTGAACATACAAAGTCTGCAAACACAGTCGAACCTCTATTAAGCGGCCACTCTGGAGGACGAGACATCTGGCCGCTAATAGAGGTGGCCGTTTAATAGAGTTTCACACGAAAACAAAACAACGTTGGCGTGACCCAGTTTTCAGTTTATCAAATATAAGTACCAACAAATGCAAGTGAAGAAAAAGGAAAAACAATGATGGTTATAATAAGGTCCATAACGTCAACAAAAGCCAAAGAAACAATTATGTGTACAGACGTAGCCTGCGTAGCAGTCTTTTCCGTTTCCTCTGAGCGGGAGAAAGCGAGAGCCAAGGGGAAGTCTTGCGAACGGATGGGGCGAGCGCAAAAAGTTAGAAACAGGGGGAGGGGGTGGAGGTAGGGTTAGGCTGTTCCCGTGCCCTCGCGCGACTACTGCCTACATGAAAGGAAACGGAAAAGAATGCTCCGCAGGCTAGTGCAGACGCGACGTGTCTGTCAACCCAACACTGGCTCGTGTGCTGTACAAACAAACTAAAACGCTTCGAAACTTTGTTTTGTGATTGTTTTAATTAAATTCTGCTTAAATGTTTTAATAGTGTTCCACTTTGTAATTCTTTTACCTTCATCTGGCTAAAAACGTCCAACTTCTTATCTCCCTGGCCGTTTAATAGAAGTATAAAACAAAACAAAAATTTGTTTTTCCCATTCATCATGTTGTAACGACTTCAAAAACGAATCGAAAAGTTGCTTTTTATACTTTATCCAACAATTGAAAGCAATTCAACGCAGTGAAATAAAATTGTCTCGTAATTGGAGATTGTAACAATTTTGATTAAATTCAAGTATAACAAGCAATAGACCAACTTTTCCATCAGGAGTAAACGAATTACACATCTGTATCAATAGCCAATCACTCGTAGCTACCCACACGTCTTCAACTTTAAAATTCCATAATTACTACATAAATATCTAGCCATTAACTGTGTGCATTTGACGTGAATTACCTGCCGCTTTACATAAGCCTGGGAGAACTTCAGATTGAGCTTCCACTGTTTTCCGCTTCACAGTTCAACAAATTTAAAGGTAAGACTGTTCTAAAATGTCTTTGACAAGTTTATTATCTCACAGGCAGTAAGCCTTTGGTATGTTAACTGAAACTCTAGCCAGGTTTTCCACATGTTTTGTCTTTCGCAAAATTGCATTAGAATTCTGTTTTCCAACTTCACCAAGTACAGTAATTTAATCTCAAAATTTTCCTAAATTTCTTATTTTTTGGCTATTGTAAATGACACGAAATAAATCATATCTCAAAACAGCAATCGAAAGAACAATTGATGTCCTCAAAGCTATCCCATATGAGCTGCTTCGAAAATTTAGGCTTTTGTTTGTGATTGTCAAATTTTGCGATTTTGAAAATTTGGGTATTGCTTGCAAAGTATTTGTTTCGCAGATAGTTTTGTCCCATCCGGTCAACTTGAGCTCTCTGTAGTTTTTGCCACAAGGTCTGAGTTAATATATCTCGTTTGAGATTTAAAAAAGGGTTAAGAAAACGAGACAATACGCGATTCTATCCCATGGAAATTGACGGGAGGAGCAGAAACGAATAACAAGAGTAAGTCCCGGATTCCATATAATTTTTGCAAAGGTGGCTTTTTGCTTGATATCTTTTCGCGTGATGCCTTTTCGTTTGATGCCGTTTCGCTCGATGCATTTTCGCGTGACGCCTTTTTGTGTGATGCCTTTCAGCGTGATACCTTTTAGCGTGGTGCCTTCAACCGTGATGCCTTAAAGCGTGATGCCTTTTAGCGTGATGCCTTTAAGCGTGATGCATGCCTTTTTGCGTGATGCCTTTCAGCTTGATACCTTTACGCGTGACGCCTTTTCGCGTGATAACCTTTGGCTTGATGCCTTTCAACGTGATGTCTTTTCGCGTGATGCCTTTATGCGTGATGCCATTTTGTGTGATACCTTTTCACGTGATGCCTTTTGCGTGATGCCTTTCAACGTGATGCCTTTTCGCGTGATGCCTTTACGCGTGATGCCATTTTGCGTGGTGCCTTTTCGCGTGATGCTTTTTCGCGTGATGCCATTTTGCGTGATGCCTTTTTATGTGATGCCTGTTTGCGTAATGACTATTTGTAGAATCGACTTGTTGCCATTCCGCTTTGGATGGATGCACGTACAATTTGGATGAATTGACATCAATTACTATGTACTGAATTTTGTCATAGATATACCTCTATCCTTTATTATGGTGGGAGAGGGAGATTACGTGTGGAGACACAAGCAGAAGCGTTATGCCTTTTTGCGCGATGCCTGTTTGCGTGATGCCTTTTCGCGTGGTACCGTTTAGTAAGTGTAATACCTTTCACGTGATACCTTGTTGCGTGATACCTTTTCGCGTGATGCCTTTTAGCGTAATGCCTTTTTGTATGATGCCTTTAGGCGTGATACCTTTTAGCATGATGTCTTTATGCGTGACGCCTTTTCGAGTGATGCCTTTCAGTGTGATGCCTTTTAGCGTGATGCCTTTTCCCGTGATTCCCTTCAGCGTGATGCCTTTTCCCGTGATGCCCTTCAGTTTGATGCCTTTAAGCGTGATGCCTTTTCGAGTGATGCCTTTTAGCGCGATGCCTGTTTGCGTAATGACCATTTGTAGAATCAGCTAGTTGCCATTCAGCTTTTGATCGATGCATGTACAATTTGGATAATTTGATATCAATAACTGAGTACTGAATTTTGTCATAGATATACCTCCATAGTTAGCTCATCATTCCGTGTGAAATTCACCGGCTTGCTCATAGAGCACTTTGATTCACTTTGTCGCAGGACTGTACTCCCTCGTTCCCAGCCTCCAAGGGAGTGTTGTTGTTGTTGGTCGCCTAGCAGAAAATGTGAAACGCGGACTTTCGATGTTGTTGTTAAACAACAGTTTTNATTCAGCTTTTGATCGATGCATGTACAATTTGGATAATTTGATATCAATAACTGAGTACTGAATTTTGTCATAGATATACCTCCATAGTTAGCTCATCATTCCGTGTGAAATTCACCGGCTTGCTCATAGAGCACTTTGATTCACTTTGTCGCAGGACTGTACTCCCTCGTTCCCAGCCTCCAAGGGAGTGTTGTTGTTGTTGGTCGCCTAGCAGAAAATGTGAAACGCGGACTTTCGATGTTGTTGTTAAACAACAGTTTTCGAGAGCTTATAGTCGAAATGTGAGCATGATTAGTTCTCCTTCATTCTAATCAACAATGACACAAGAACGCACGATCCCTGGATGCCCTTGGGCATTCGCAGACGACATGAGAGGAATCATCGACAAGAAGGAATTCAGGTTTGGAACGTTCCATCGTAAATTAACATGATCGCTGTGCAAACAGTTTTAAGCCTAACCTTAAGCTTGAATTTCGTTGCCTTCTCGTGAAGTGCTTCTCTGTGTTGACTCTTATTTCAATAAAACGTTTTGAGCCTTGTTGATACTGACTCGCTCACATGAAATCCTTTCAGTTTTGTGACAGTCTTCAGAGTCCATCACGGAAAGCTATATTCGTTAACAAATTGTTTCTTTAATTCAACAGGGGCTATATCACGCTTTATTTTATTTTTCTTTCTTTATTTATGAGTTCCAAACTCTGTTTTATAATAATATGAAATCATTATAGCTGCCTTGTTTAACCTATTATATGAGAGCACTCAAGAACTAGAGGAAGAAAGGAAAATGTTCCCTCAATCTCTACTTATCCACACTTCTGCTATGCTCTCATCGTTTCCTTGTGGTGGTGTGGTTACAGGGCTGACAGAGCCCTTCAAACATCAGGGGTACATTGGGGTTTGCGGTACTGGACAATTTTTCTTGCAGTATTTTGGTAATTTTAATCTCAAATTGCAGTATTGTGGTATTTAAACAAACCTGCGGGATGCGGTTTTTTACTGTGAATTTTGGATGGTTTTAAAAATTATCCTCAAAGTCCTCCAATGTTTTGGGAATCTTCTCTAGTTTCCAATCAGAAAAGGGTAATTTATTATTTGTCAATTATTAGCCAACACGCCAGTGGGTGTTACTTCTTTGTTTATTTTGTCTAAATCTAAAATAACCTGAGTTGACGTTCATTAAAAAATTCCTAATTGTTATTTCTGTGTTATTACTGCTTTCAACGTGACATACAGCATTATGTAGTGGTTTCAGTGCGACATCGAGTTTGAATTTGTTATTGAAGAATTGTGGTATTTGGCGACTTTTTTGCGATATTGCGGTATTTGCCCCCCTCGGACATGGTTAATGGTGCTCTAGTCACAGCTGCTATGGTCCCTTAGCTAGTTCTTAATTTCCTGGAGTTGCTATATTTAACTGAAATGCTTTGTAATAGTCCAAAAGATCAGGCTTAAGTCTCCTTTTATTTGAAGTGGTTGCAGACCTATAAATTTGCAACAGTTTGTACAAAATACAATGCACTTTAAGAGCAAAGACAGAAAGTCTGGATCAAGTGCTGGAGAAGGTTTTGATAACCTTTGTATTATAAACCAGAACAGAATAATGAGAATGGCAAATCATAGAAGACTCATACTTAGCATTACCAGTGAGATTTTGGTTTATGCTTCTGATTAAGGTGGTGTTATAGTATACATGTATGATTCTGCTTTGGATTTGTTGAGTGTTCAAAGCCAATCACAGACCATGGTAAAATAAAGCAGAGACAGTTCTGCATTACTTTTGGTTTCTGTTGAATTGTTGTTGCTATGGTTGTTACCATTGAAAACATGGATCATGTGTACTAAAGAGATCTAGCTGTTGTTGAGTGTTTATCGATACCCTGGATCAACCCATGATTGACACTCGATCGACATCTTCATCGACACCTCAATCAATACTCGGTTGATACTAGATTTACACTCCCTCGACATCTCGACTGACACCTGATCAACACTTGAACGACAGTCGGTCGATAGCTGTTAGTCAGTGTGGACTGACTCACGTATCAATTGACACTCAAATGCATGTCTGCAAAAATTATTAGATTGTTGATTGACTGTTAACCAAGATGTCGATCGAGTATCAACAGAGTATCGAACATGGAGATGTTGATTGAGTGTTGGTTGAGATGTCGAGTGAGTGTTGATCGAGGGTTAATCAAGGGTATCGATCAACACTCAGCCAGGATGCCAATAGTACACATGATCCGAAAATGTTGACTGAGAAAATATGACTAAGTTTTGTTCCTTGCTATAGTGATGTCAAGTTCATCGTGGGGCCCAGTAGAAAAGTGATCCGTGCTAACAAAGCAATTCTTATGGCAAGGTAAGACTGATTATTACATGTATTTAATTGATAATTATAATATTAAATAATAAGTAAAATGGTTCCTTTGTTGAAACTATATACAGTACTGTGCAGTCTTGCTAGCACTTGTAAAATCCTTGGAAGTCTAATATACTTTATATGTACATAATACAGGTGTGAAGTTTTCCAGGCAATGCTTTCAGATCAGAAAGACAATGTCCGACCAAAGGGTGATCAACAGGATATACCACTAGTCCTAGCAGATGTTACACCAGAAATCTTTATGTCAATGTTGGAATTTCTTTACACCAATACATGCACTCTAAACAGCAAGAATGTAAGTGGAAAATAATGTTCTTTTTAAAGTTTTGTAATTACTGCTTGAGCATACATGTACATCTTAACTGATCTCTGCTCGA